TTAACTTTAAAAGACTAAAGAATCATGGTAAAAAAGCCGTGAATTCAAAGAGGCCACATTCGATCTCTTTCATGAACTTTTGAAAATTATTTGTCCAACCTAATCCTTTCTCTAGAAATAACCATTAAAGTAACTAATTTTGTGCTGTGATGTGGGCATTCAGAACCAACATCTATTCTGCTAATCACACTGGGTCCCAGAAAAGATATTCAGTGAATTGCTTCAGTATACATTTCTCACACACAAATCCCATTATTGTAAATGTCAGTGTCTCTCATACTTACTTGTGAGGAACCAAAATCAGCAGCATTTACCAAGTGGTTTAACCAGATAAGTGGTATAGGAAAAATGGGAAATGATTCTTTTTAAGGCTTTAAACTACTCAAAAATTAGTTTCCAAGCATTTTAGTTACACTAACAGTAATGTCTTCTTTAATGGGACATGGTGTCCTCTCAAAATTTGTGTGAGGAACTGGTGAGCTGGTAAACAGCAGGGCTTAATTTGCATAAATTGCTCTGTGCAGAGTTTCTGCGAGGACCTGAAGAGAGAAGAAATTTTTTATTCAGAGAACGAGATGAACACAAGGAGGAAACTGGCATGGCCTCTGTTCCTGGACTGGCGTGGAGCCCAGGCAGAGTAGCTGGGACCTAATGCTAGAGAGATTTGTGAAACCCTGGGAGCTTGCAGTGTGTCTGTGGCACAGAGTTGGGGAAAAGTCCGCTCTACCCAATTATCGTATACCAGGCTGGTAAGGTCTGGGGACATTTGGGTTATGCTTAGTAAAGTAGACACTATAAATTGTTTTAGGAGCACAGGGGAGTACAAGGGAATTGTTCTGTTAAAAGAGACTTAAAAGACATGATCTATCCAAATGCACTGCATGACCCTTGACTGGATCCTTCGTCAATTATTATTAATTTTGGAATTATTACTAATTTTGTTAGGTGAGAAAACAGTATTATGGTTATATAGAAAAATGCCCTTATATTTTGAAGATGCATGCTGAAGTACTCAGGAATAAAGGTTTATGCTGTGTATAATTTACTTTGAAATGATTCAGCAAATATATACACATGCACATAGCTACATACAAATAAAAACATACAAAAGTGGCAAAATGTTCATTATTGAATCTACCCAGCTAGTATTTAGGGTGTTCATCTTATCATTCTTTCTACTTTTTTGAATGTTTGAAATTTCCATAATAAGTTAAAAAAAATTAATGGCCAAAGAGTGTTTTTTTTTTTAAAGATTATTTACTTAAGTAATCTCTACACCCAACATGGGGCTCAAACTCACAACCCTGAGATCAAGAGTTGAATGCTCTTTTGACTGAGTCAGGCAGGCACCCTGAAAGAATGCTATTTTTCTAAAAGGTGTGACAAGTTCTTTAAATTAGACATGAAAACATAATAAAAAACCTAACTTAATCCCTGAAGCCCATTACTCTCTACATGTATGTATATGTTAAAAAGAAAGCCACAAGGCCCAAGGTGGAGTTACTTGCTCCCAGGACAGCAAAGACTTAATTACAGTTTCAACCTCTCCAGGAGTCATATTTTAAGCCAATCAATCTGGAATTTTCTGGTCAGTACCAAATGAGGTAATCTGTCACATGAGCTCTCCATTCCCCAAAGGAAGATGAGGTGATCCATCTAATAAGAACTCCCCTCCCTGGGGCGCCTGGTTAAGCGACTGCCTTCGGCTCAGGTCATGATCCTTGAGTCCCGGGATCGAGTCTCGCATCGGGCTCCCTGCTCGGCGGGGAGTCTGCTTCTCCCTCTGACCCTCCTCCCTCTCATGCTCTCTGTATCTCATTCTCTCTGTCTCAAATAAATAAATAAAATCTTTAAAAAAAAAAAAAAAAGAACTCCCCTCCCATTCCCCCCACTAAGAGAAGGTGACCTTGCCTGAATAATCCTTTCTTTTCTTTTACTAATAACTTCCTGTCCCACCCTCCTTGCTATAAAAACCTTCCATTTTGTACAACTCCTTGGAACTCCCCTCTACCTGGATAGGATGCTGCCTGATTCATTAATCACTTAATAAAACCAATTAGGTCTTCAAATTTACTTGGTTGGATTCTATTTTTTAACATTATATATGTATATATGTATGTGTATGTATATATATATATATGCTTTCTTTTCTTGAATAATCTTTGTTATATGCTTTATAAAACCTCAAAACCAGACATAAATATCTTAAAACATTAGTATATTAACATTTTGCAAAAATGTGATGGTAATTACCTTGATCTGTATAAATGAATTATAACTGATACATCTTTTTCTGCATTTGTGACTTCATTCACGTACTGATTTCCAGAAATTTCTCTTAATTCCCCAAATTTTTGTTTTTTCCTAAGAGCTTTCCATTCCTGTAACCGCTTTTCTCTAATTAAAAAAATGAAATAAAAAAAAGAAAATTGTCATAGTCTTCAGGTCATCCCTATATATAGTAACAATTTAGGGCAATGAATGTAATGCTAGAACATATCAGAGACTTTAAAGAATGATAGAATAACTATTAATGGTCTTATAATGCCAATTTCTTTTCTTTTTTTTTTTAAGATTCTATTTATTTATTTGAGAGAGAGAGAGAGCACAAGCGGGGGAGGGAGGAGACAGAGGGAGAGGGAGAAGCAGACTCCCCGCTGAGCAGGGAGCCTGACGCAGGGCTCCATCCCAAGACCTGGGATCATGACATGAGCTGAAGACAGACACTTAACCGACTGAGCCACACAGGCGCCCCCCCAATTTCTCTTTTCATACGGGCATTTGTGTTACAGGTATTGCAAAGAATAAGGAGTTAGCTATTGACTTTTTGTTGTTGTAATATTTTATTTATTTGAGAGAGAGAATGAGAGAGAGAGAGAGCACAAGCAGGGTGAGGGGCAGAGGAAGAAGCAGACTCCCTGCTTAGCAGGGAGCCTTATGCAGGGCTCCATCCCAGGACTCTGGGATCATGACCTGAGCCAAAGGCAGATGCTTAACCAACTGAGCCACCCAGGCGCCCCAGCTATTGACTTTTAAATTTATTTTTATTTAAGACTAGGTCTTAATCATAGCTATAGAGAGTTTATTTAGACATTGAGCCAACAAATTCTCATACACAGGTTAAACACTTACTAAGGAATATACATAATAATAGCTAATATTTATTGAGTGCTTACCATGGTACCAAGCACTGTTTTAAGTGCACTATATTAACTAATTTAACTTTATCAAGTTAGTACTATTATTATCCTGTTTACATGCTCTTAACTATCATGCTAAGCTGACCTTCAGTCCAAAGCCTTTGCAAATATGTGTAATTACTTGTTATAAATTTATTGCAGGAAGAGAAGTGGTAGAGAAGAGTGATTACTTAATAGTGTGATGGTCAACACTTCTCTTCCTCCTCTACTCGCACCTTCTCCTCAGTTTTCTTTGTTATTTCAGTGGGTTGGGCAGGGAGAGTCACACCTAGTTTTGCCATCAGAAGGGGACATCATGTTCAACGGCCAGCATTTTTCCCCTAGCAATCATATCAATTGGGATTCAGTCAGAAAAACAGAAAGCCCTCCAGCTATCTTAAACAGGCTTAATCTGGGGCATTAAGTGCTTAACACACGTGATGTAAAAATGAAGACTATAGGCTGAGCTACCAGGAATGACTCCCAAAACAACATTGAAAACTGGTCTGCCAAGGGAGGAGCTTTCTCTGCTGCAGTCCAGGAACTGGGGAATCTGGACCTACTGTTTCAATGTGTCCTACCATCAGCCTACACTGGGGATCAGAAAGCCACTGAAGCAACGGTTGTCTGTAGGGACCTATCTCCTTTGCAAAGACTGGAAGAAAATATTTGCAGAAGACATATTGTGTGAAGAACTATTACCCAAAATATACAAATAACTCTAAAACCTCAACAATAAGAAAACAAACAACCTGCTTTGAAATGGGACAAAGACCTTAACAGACAACTCACCAAAGAATATACTGATGACAAATAAGTGTATGAAGAAATGCTCTACATCCATGTCATCAGGGAAATGCGAACTGAAACAAGAGACAACTACATATCTATTAAAAGGGCCAAAATCCAGAACACTGACACCAAATGATTGAGAGGATGTGGAGTAATAGGAACTCTCATTCATTGCAGTGGGAATATAAAATGTACACCTTTTGGAAGACAGTTTGGAGTTTTCTTGTATAATTAAACATACTCTTACCATATGATCCAGCTGTCATGCTCCTTGGTATTTATGCAAAGGAGTGAAAACTATGTCTACACAGAAACTTGCACACAGGTGTTTAAAACAGCTCTAATATTTATCACTGCCAAAACTGGGAAGCAATCAAGATGTCCTTCAGTAAGTGAATGGATAAACTGTGGTATATCCAGATAATGTAGTATTGGTCAGTGCTAAAAAGAAATGAGCTATCAAGCCATGAAAAGACACAGGGGAACCTTAAATGCATATTACTAAGTGAAAGAAGCCAATCTGAGAAGGCTACATGCTGTATGACCCCAACTATATGACAATCTGGAAAAGGCAAGACTATGGAGACAAGATTATGGTTGCCAGGGATGGGGGGAGGGGCAGAGGCTGGCAAATAGGCAGATCATAGAGAATTTTTAGGGCAGTGAAAATACTTTGTATGATACTATAATGATGGTTACATGTCATGCATTTGTCCAAGCTCATAGAAAATACAACACTAAGGATGAATTGTAATGTACACTCTGGACTTTGGATGATTATGATGTATCGATGTGGGATCATCAGTTATAGTACATCTATCACTCTGGTGGGAGATGTTGATAATGGGGGAGACTATGCACGTGCTGGGGCAGGAGGTATATTGGAAATCTCTGTACCTTCCACTCAGTTTTGCTGTGAATGTAAAACCGCTTTAAAAAAAGTCTTAAGTGTGCCCTGGATGGCTCAGTTGGTTAAGCGTCTGCCTTTGGCTCAGGTCATGATCTCAGGGTCCTGGGATCGAGCCCATATTGGGCTCCCTACTCAGTGGGGAGGCTGCTTCTCCCTCTCCTCCTTCCCCTGCTTTCTCTCTCTCTCTATCAAATAAATGGATAAATAATAAAAACTTAAAGAAAAAAGTATTAAAATTTTTTGTTGGTTTTTTTGGCTGTAAATGAGGAATTTGCTTTAAATCACCACTATCAGGATGACTACAGAATTTTCCCTTGTTAATAACAACTTTTGAAAGGCTACAGGTTCCTTTTTCCTTAGATTCGAAGTGACAACAGAGATATGAAAGTAATGCCGTAAGTTGGTTGCAATTGGAGTTGGAGTTTTGATATGGAATATGGGAGTGAGAGAACTTCCCCATAGAGTATCTCTCTTTAATCTCTGTGGCAGAGATTGGTTGGGCGGTCACTGGTGTATTTTCCTCTTCCAGGGTTCACGGGAAGACTACATTAGCCAGCTTCCCTTGCAACTGGATTAGGCCCAGGAGCTTGGATTGTGGCCAATAGAACAAGAGTGAAAGTGTTATGTGCATTTCTGTGACTCAGCCCTGAAATCTCCTATGCTATCACTCACTCTATCTCCCTAGTCCCCAAGCCTTGAGGGAAAGGATTCTGACGTGATGAAGAGAACCTAACGAAAAGAGCCCATTAATCATCTCAATAAATTCTGCTGACACAAACGATTACATTAGTAGGACTGCTATCCTTGAACAATCCTTGCATTCCTTGAATAACTAATTATTCATTATATGTGATTATTTTAATACACTGTGTTATTTGCCAATGTGGTATTTAAGGTTTTGGCATCTATGTGTCAAAAGCGAGACTGGTCTAAAGCAATGTTTTTCAAGTTAAGGCATGTGGACATTCTAATCACTTAGGTATAGCAGGTTCCACAGATGGGCATATTCCTGAGATCCAACCCAAATTTACTGAATATTACCTCTTGGTGCTGGTCTCAGGAATGAGCATTTTTAAACTTTATATTATGGACAGTTACTAACATATACAAGGTAAAGAGACCCGAGATGTACACATGGCCAATCTTCTTGCATCTACACCCCCATTATCTTCTCACCTCAAGGGCTATTCTGAAGCAAATATAAGACAGCATATAATTTCATCTGCAAATATTTCATTACATATCTCCAAAAGATGAGGATACTTTAAAAAATGTAACTCACATGGCACAATCACACCAAAAACAGTAATTCCTTAATATATTCAGATATTTTTCAAATAATCCTATTCTAAAATACATAAAATATCCATAAAATTTACCATGTTAACCATTTTCGAGTGTTCAGTGGCATTGAGTACTGTATCCATTTTTAAGTTTGCTTATTCAAATGAGGATCCAAATTAGATTTATAAAAATGGTTGTTATATATCTTAAATCTCATTTAATCTGCAGATTCCTTTCCATCTATTTTTTGCCCTTGCAATTTCTTTGTTTTTGAAGGAAACCAGATTGTTTGTCCAAGGTTTCCCACAGTCTGAATTTTGCTGGTTGCCTTATCAAAAAGTCAATTCACATGAGAAATATACATTTATTTTTTTAAAGATTTTATTTATTTATTTGACAGAGAGAGACAGTGAGAGAGGGAACACAAGCAGGGGGAGTGGGAGAGGGAGAAGCAGGCTTCC